TTAGACTTTTTGGTTCTATGTTTCAGCTGGCTTTCCGTCTTGGGATGCGAGATTTGCTACTGGAGGGATTTGGGGCAAGAAGGCTTTTGAAGTGGAGGGCTGCAGAATACAGTGAGCTCGATACAAGCGCGTCCAGTGTGCTTCCCAAGCCCGCTAGATCTATCAAGAAGGGTCCATGTGTTTCGAATAAGTCAAGACACAGCATAAAACTAGCTGCTACAGTACAGTACAGGAGCCCTTCAGTTCAGGTTAAAGTAGATACTGTACGTGTGTATGTATACATATATATATATATACGTATGTAAGTATATATGCACCGGTGTATGTATGTATGTATGTATGTATGTATGTATGTATGTATGTATGTATGTATGTAATATGCATGTCCATGGACCCTCATGGCATGTCCGGAACGCTCTATGTAAGGCCCATACAGACGACATGCCCAAACTTGACCTCCGAGCCTACACACAGCCTGTATGGTTGCAGTCTGATGTTCTTGAAGCGATGGTCCAAAAGATTGGGAGAGGGAACTAGGAGCTCGATTGGTACACAGTAGACAGGCTCTTTGACCAGCCCCGGGCGTCAAGAAATGACTTTGTTTAGAGTTTTGCGATTGGGCTTTGCCGCAGGGTTCCGGAATGTTTAGGACTTGAGGTTTTTAGGGTTCGGGATCCTGGCGGTATACGAGATGCAGTTTCGGTCGCGGTTCAGGAGAAGGCAGCAGATGATGGCCCTGCAACAGATGCGCCCCAAGTGGTTCCTTCAGAAGAGGCCTGGGTTCCTCTTTTTGTCTCTCCCCCTCACTCTCTGTTTCTCTCTCAGCTTGGATTTAGAGCTTGGGGTTTGGGAGTCGGGTTAAGGCTTCGGCTTTTGGTTAAGGTTTAGGGTTTAGGGTTCAGGGGTGTTTCGGTGGACCACTGGACCAGGGAACAGCCAAACAGTCAGTCACATTTGTCACATCTCCGGTGGACGCAGGTGAGCGGACCACAGTCGACTTCGCCGAAGAAATCGACGAATTTGCGCGCCATTATCCAGGAGGACACGTCTTGGGGCTGTTTAGGGTTCAGGGTTTTAGGGTTTTTAGGGGTCAGCTTAATTCACTTCCGAGACCTGTCCTCACATTTGATTGATGCTTTGCTTATCTCTGCCGGAGCCGTACTATAGTAATGTTACTTCTTGGGGCAACGTCGTACCTATTGTCTGCGTTGTAGTTCCTCTTTTTTAGTTGAACCAAATTTATTTCAAGGATCCTAAAAAGGTAACCCCAAAAAGCAACTACAATGGAGACTATATAGGTATAGTTATACCTACGTACCATACTACACTACCTCAACCCTCGTTTGGCCCACTCGCCGGACAGGGTTCCGGGTCTTTGCCCGAAACACGAAGTACACCCCTGGCCCTATAACCCCAGCAATTCCAAAATGCAATGCAGAGAGTGACGTTCATATAGTCTCATAAGACTTGGTATTGACGAATTTATCTTGACCCCAAACCCTAAACCCTAAAGACGAAACCATAAACCCTAGCACCTCATAGCCCGAAATCTTCAATCAACCCAAAAGGCCTGAATCCCGCAAGCTCCAATCCCTTCGTCCTGCAACCCAAATAATAAACCGGTTTAGACATTATCCCCAAGCCCTAAAAGCCGTTTAGGATATCAGGGTTTCCGAAAATAGGGGACCAAAATACAGTACGCCAACTAGTAGGATCCTGTTTATAAGGACCCCCAAAATAAGGTACCCGTAATTTTCGCAAACTCCCATATTCGGGTTTAGGGGCCTTACATCAGAGATCCAAGTAGACAAATAGTACCTACTTTGGAATTCAAACGTTTCTATTTAGTACCTACTTCGCGCTATTTCCAGCCGCAGGGTAAATCCTGTCGCCTGCAAGCCTACCCTAAACCCTAAATCCCTTAACCCTTAAATCCCTAAACCCTAAATCCTAGATATTAATGATTAACCCCTAAACCCTGAACCCTAAACTCCAAGCCCTAAACCCTAAACCCTATAGATCCGAAATCAACTCCTTTTCAAGCCTGGGCTCTTAAACCCTGAGCCCTTCATTCCCAGAGCTCCTGTGAAGGAAGCTCCACAAGAAAAGTCGAGACTGGCGGCCTTGGTCAAAGGCCCGTTGAAAAGGTTTGGTTTAGGGTTTAGGGTTTAGGGTTTAGGGTTTAGGGTTTAGGGTTTAGGGTTTAGGGTTCAGGGTTCAGGGTTTAGGGTTTAGGGTTTAGGTTTAGGGTTTAGCATGGTTTCAGGCGGAGGGTCTCGAGCCCGTTGGTAAGAACTCAGCCTCCACTGTTCAATGTGCTGGGTTCTGGAGTCTGGAGATACTGGAATACCTTTTTGGGGGACCTGTTCCTTAAGGGAACCGTTATGAAATAAAAGTCTATACTTTTTTCTCCCTGGTTACTTCAAAGTCTAGTGTGTGTGTGTTTCGTCTTTTGGGTTGAAGATGAGGATTCGTAGTGCTTCTGGGGCTCAAGACTGCCTTAAGGCTGGCTTGGTGACGTGAGGGGTGTGGTGGTCGAACCCACGCATCACAACTTCCAAGGTGGTCCTGTTCTTGGAGGAATCGCCCCAGGTAAAGGTTCTTGCATGATGTGTGGTAGAACACAACCAAAGGCGGCTGTGATGACGGTGATGATGTCCTTTGCAGATGTTCCTAGCTGTTGTCATTGGCTGATGTTGTTGTTGTTGTGGTTGTGGTTGTGGTTGTGGTTGTTGGTTGTTGGTTGTGGTTGTTGTTGCTGTTGTTGTTGTTGTTGTTGTTGTTGTTGTTGGTGGTGGTGGTGGTGGTGGTGGTGGTGGTGGTGGTGCTGCTGCTGCTGCTGCTGCTTCTGCTGCTGATGATGATGCTGATGCCGGTGCTGACCATGTCCTGTCGAGCTTGATGGCAAAATCATTGTTAATCAAAACCACGTGTCATCGCAAGAACGAGCCCTTTCGCAGACTGAGAGGTGTCTAGAGTTCAGGTTTCCTCGATACGTTCAAGCCGACTCTGTGGCTTCCCATGTTTAGAGTTGAAAGGGGCTTGCGCTCATGTTGTCCGAACCTTCGGGATCAGAGTTTGGAGTTCAGCATCCTTGTACCCCGAAGGACGACTTCGGTCTTGTAGGGTTCGCATCGAGGCTCAACTCCTTTAGTGGGACCGTCTGGGTTTAGGGTACCCTAAACCCTAAACCCTAAAGGTTTCAATTTGCATGAGGCCCTCTCGACGGAATCATGGCCATTGTCATCGTGCTCAACCTAAGCCTTATGGCTGCCGGCACTCAGGACGTTGGCCATCAGGTGCGTTTAGGGTGTAGGGTTCAGGGGGTGCCGATGTCAAAACCCAGAACCCTCACGAAAATCCTGACGCCCAAAGCTTTAAACTGACATGGCTGAACCGAGCCAAAATAAAGACCCAGACAGCACGGCCGACATGCATGCTTCTTTGTGTATAGTGGGGTGGAAAGGGACATGTCTGCAGTATCTGAGTGGAGCGATTGTTGCTTCAACTTTTTGTGCGTGCATGCAGGATGGAAAGGGAGTGTCTGCAGTATTTGAGTGGAGCGATTTGTTGCTTCAACTTTTTGTATGTGCATGCATATAGCTCCAGTCATTCCGCTGACATGTACGTGCACTCTATTTACATGCTCATTGTCACTTTCATCATAGACTCTAGATGTGGTTATGGTTTCGCATCAAGAAATGTAAAGCCTGTAAAGCTACATGCACAGGTCGGCACGCGGAGACGCAGACACACACTTATGCTCAGCCGGGGTAACTGCGACGAGCGACAGTCAGGACCACGACGAAATGAAGTTCACGTTCAGATTGCAGCAACTGTAGTCACATGAAACACATGCATGATGCATATAGCCACCGGCTGGAGTAACTCTCCACAGGTGCACCATGCAGCGACGATTGCACTGCATACACAGAAGCGTTTGGATTGGCTGGACATGTCCGTGATGCACTCCAGCCCCCTGCGCTAGTCGCAATCATGGCAAAAACTCAAGCACCTTCTGGCAAGCAAACTGATACATGTTCAAAAGACCGCTCATTATACAGCAGAACGTGCAGGTTTGTACGCACACACACACACACCACTGCGTTGACACAGACACAGAAACACGTATACATACACATAAACAACCAATCAATATGATATACATGGTATACATACAAACACACGGAGAGCCAGACTGGCAGACGCAAACGAGCAACTTCACGGACAATGCGCATGCTCACGCGCGCGCGGGCATGCCCAGCTCTGGAGCCGGTTTTGGTTTGCCTTACGTTACCATGTGCCCATATATAGTGAAGTAGGCCTTGAATTGGGGTTTGAAACCCTAAACCCTAAACCCTCCACCCCAAACCCCTAAACCCCTAAGCCTTGAATTGAAGCGGTTCTTAGCAAGGTACCTTAGGCGCAACGTGTATACTACGTAGGCGCATGAACCTCTATGGGTAGGTACGAAAAGCAAGCCATACAACACTACAAGACCATATGTAAACTGCTATCAATGCGATTTGGGGGACCCTAATTATCCTTTCACCCTAATTAACCACCCAAACCTTATGTTACACTCACAAAAACCACAGTAGCCTCATCGAGCCCTTCAAAGAACCTTCGGGGGTATACCCATAGGCCCCATAGTAGTTCCTTTTTGGGATTACCTTGTAAGATTCTAAATATGGGGGTTTCCGAAAGTAGGGGACCCTACTATAGTACCCGAAATAGTAGGATCCTTATTATAAGGACGCCAAAACAAGGTACCCCTTGTTTTCGGAAAGTCCCATATGAACCCCAAAAAGGAGCTACTCTAGGGCCAGACGCCTGACATTAACCAATCGTAGCTTTTTAAGGGCCCTTCAAGTACCCTCGTAGTACCCTGATAGCACCCTTAAGGCTTTAGGGCCTATGGGTAGTCTTGTCAGGCAGACGTCATCCTGCTTGGGGGAGACCCTGGTCCTCCCGCCATTCCGATCACAACGCTCGACATCATGGAATGGGCTTCCTGGTCTAGGGTTTAGGGTTCAGGGGTTTAGGGTTTAGGGTTCAGGGGCTTGGGTTTAAGGGTTTAGGGTTTTAGGGTTTAGGGTTTTACGGTTTAGGGTTTAGGGGTTTGGGTTTTAGGGTTTAGGCTTCCCGGTCTAGGGGTTAGGCTTTTGATAGAGTTTGGGGTTTGCTAGTTCAGGGTTCAGTGTTTAAGGTTTGATGGTTTAAGTAGGACGGTGGCCGTGACAGGGCTTTATCATGTAGGTACTTTTTGTGACACTGCATATAGAGTATGGGTGCATGGACCCTTAGAGAAGTATCTGTTCTTGGTCGCCTGAAGAACACTGCAATACCGGAGTAGGAATATTTACGAATAGTAAGTATACCAGAAAATCCTCATTCACAGTTTTATTAATACCATGAACATCATATACCCCACGACCCTACTCCAATTAAACCTATTACAGGCTCCGTATAGTGTGATGGTATGTCCCGAGCTCAGCCTCAACCAAGGTTTTCTTTTTCGTGTACTTTGCCGAATTGTGTCTGCGGATTTTTGTTCTGCGGTTTGCCTGGGTCTACCAAGCTACAAGCGGGATCATGTGACCTGGACCGTTCTTGAACATACTTTTTAGTGCCTTTGTTATTTTCTTAAGGAGCCCCCCCACGCCCTAAACCCCTAGACCCCGAACCAAAATCGTAGGTACATGAACCTCTTCGATGCTGTCTTGGTGATCATCCATGGCGCTGACATTCTGCAGCAGGGCTCAGCTCAGTGCGACACAGGGCAGGGCTCACGGTTTGGGGTCCGGGGATTTAGCGGAACTAGGGTTTTTGGGTCGGGGGGGGTGGGGCTGGTTGTGTTAGTTGCTCGTGCCATGTCTTGCTTCATACTTTTCAAACTACGAGGGCGTGCATTCTACTTACCTGTCGAGTTGATGTTATGCGCACCCCGACCACCCCCACCAGCACTGCCACTCGCTCCACCAACACCGCAATCGCCACTAGTACCGCCACCACCGCAACCGCCACCACCAACACCAGCAATCAAAGCATCACCTAAGACCCCCACCCACTCACCAACCACCCAGCCAAGCACTCAGCCAACCACCCAGAACACCCCAACACGCCAACCAACACAAACCACCAAAACCACCACGTCTATCAACACTGCAACATGCTGCAACCACCGTCATGTTCTGCGTGGTCGTCGTCATCAACATCACCAACCTTTGACGATGACCACCTTAAAGCCATGCCACAGAAAGCAAAAAACACTTCAACCCTAAACCCTGAATCCTATTTAACCCCTAAACCCTAAACCCTATTTAACCCCTAAACCCTGAACCCTATTTAACCCCTAAACCCTAAACCGAGCCAAAAGAGTCCGAGGCTTCTCGCCGGAGCATCGGGGGAGCAGGCCTCCAGCGTCCGAACCTTCAAACTGCTTCGCCTTGTGCGGACGGCTCGTATCATCAAGACAGCCCCTTGGGTGGATTACGATAACGATCATGGCTGCTGACGATGATGATGGTGATGATGGCGATGGTCGTAATGATTAGCACTATCAGTTCTCGTTGTCAACAGTGTTGTTATTATTGCTGTTAACAAGACTTTCATTACTATATGAATATATATATATATACATATGCATATGTATACATATATATATATATATATGCATGTACGTATACATATATATATATATACACATATTTATGTATGTACGTATATATATGTGTATATATATATATATGTATATATATATATATATACATATATATATATACACATATATATATATATATTGGTGTTATCACTCTTGCTATTACTAGAAGCTGAGCTGCAAAGTCCTGATCACATGAACCCTAAACGCCCTCCTTCAGGTCTCAAGCCACAATACACACTCCTCTACAAAAGCCCAATAAGAAACCATATCTCATGATGAGAGCCCTCTACTGGTACCCTAGACCCTAAGACCTAGAAACCGCTAAAGCACCCGAACCAAACAGAACTGCAAGAGTCCTACAAGCCCTACAAACCCTATAATTCAACCCTAAACCCCTATAAACCCTGAACCCGAAATGCTGGAACCTTTTCACGAGCCTCTTCTTCCCAGATCTTCGCACCACCTTGAGGTCGCCGTCTTTCGAGAGCTGCGCCTCCTCGTTTCCAGCATGCTCGCGAGTCCCTTGAGGGCTTGTTACAGCTTGTTGTTGGGTTTAGGGTTTAGGGTTAGGGTTTAGGGGTGAGATATAGGATTTTAAGTATAGGGCCCCCTATACTAGCAAAGGGTACTTTATAGGAACCCCCTTTAAGGGAGCTACTTTGCTGAATTCTCCCAAAAGCTCGAGCTGCTAGATGCCTCTAACATGTCCTCGGAGCCCTCCCCTCCCCTGCGGAACTCGACGCTTTAGGGTTTGAGAGTGCAACGCCCT